TATATATATATATATATATATAACACTTAATCTTCATGGTATTTGAACAGACGATAAAAATCTGTTTAAAAGCACTTTATTTGTTTATCATATGTTTGCGCTGTTCCACAATGCAGATTACTCCACCACCTCAAAACATTCAGATCATCAAACAACTAATATTAACATTCAACATCAAGAATGAAGATGAAATCAGTTCCTTAAATTTTACTTTCATAGATTTTTAGAACCTTTCTAAATGTTTGATTTTGCTTCTAGTACTGATAATCTAACGTGTTCTTTAAGAGGTTATGCAGCAAATTATAGAACAGAACGCAGTGTGTTTTAATTTAGTGCTTTTTATCTGTCACCTTCAACCTAATTTTTTTTTTTACCATCCCTCTCTGCTCCCCACTGATCTACTAAAACTGCACTTTAACCCATAGCAGAGCTCTGAGACTTCTAGAGAACAGATGAAAGCAGAAAGGCAAAGACTTTAAAAGAGCAGAGAGACCTTTGACCAGGCTACTGCTGTCTGTCCATCAGAAAACTTCTTACTAACACTAGATTATGTCCTCACAGCTTTAACAGATTATGGTATTAAAGCTTCCACAGTACTGAAATAAAGTTTCTGTATTTTCATTATTTTATTAGGTGCAAATTAATACAAAAGTAATACTTTAACTTTAGTATAATAAAAAAATGTTGGTAGTGTAATAGTGCCATATCTTCTTTAGCTGTTTGAACATCATGATGAGCTTTTCCTCTGATTCTGGTGGTGATGAGTAAAAAATGTCAACCTGTCAGAAGATAAAAGGCAACAAATTGTTTCCTTTAACTGACCAGACTGTTTACAGATGTTGTTGGTTATTATGTGAAGGACACAAATTATCTTAATTATTGGTTCACAGGCGAAACACTAACATTGTGACTAACTTTAGCTGACATGCTTGTCACCTTGCAAATAATAAAAGTTAGGATTGGTTTGTGAGCTGTGGTTAACTATAATTACTGACCTTCTTATCCTTCGTTTACCACCTGGATCTTCAGGCATAATGGCTTTGCAGATTTAACACTGCTTCTCCCCCCCCAGCACCTTCAAAGCCCCCCACCCAGAAAGTTGTTGAGTCTGTACATGAACATGTGTGCACAATATTGTATTCAGTTATAGTAGGAGGAGGCTTTCCTTTATTGCCTTGTTCATGTTTTTTCAGCCACAAACCTGTATGAAAATTCTGTTTATAGTAAGAGATAAATGGATAGATCAACACAAAATAAACTCTTCAGATACGCTTTTTTAAGCCTAATGAAAGGCAACTATATATTGGAATATCACCACTTGCACTACGAAGCAGTGGTGCGTGCACAGGTATTTCAGGACAAGGGCTTAAGTGGAGCAAAGGGTAACTGTCAGGTTACTCAGATAAGTGACCGTTTGGACAGATGGTCACTACTTTTTGCTACCTGTTGGTTAGCTACCGCACGGTTCCTGCGCCGTCTTTATTTTTGCTTACCGACACAACAAATCCATGATGCTTTGTGAGGAGAGCTCTCGTGAAGCATTTTGGTATATATCTGCTCATCTCGTGACCATAGATGATCATTACACTTTCAAGGTGCATTGTGGGAAATGTCGAGTCAGTATAGTATAAATAGAAAAAGAAGAACATTTTAAGGAGGGCACCTTTTTGTGCAAAGGAACAAGGGCAGGGGCATCCTCACTACAGTGTATTAATAATAATATTTGTTATGAAATACTGGTTGCATTTAAAGCATAATGCCTAACATCACACAGCAGTGGGCAGGTGATGGAGTTAGGTGCCTCTTGGTGTGGGTTGGTAAAGGCATCTCAATACACTGTAAATATGTCTTGGCTATTCTTTATTCCAAGGCAGATAGGACAGGCTGCTAAGAGTGCAGACTTCTCAGACATGTTTTGATCAAGTGAATCACTGCTTTAGGCATAATTTGAAAAAGTAATTAAGCTCTATTCATCTCAGCATCAGCTTTCCCTGTTTTCATTTACCATCTCTTTGATATACCGTACTCTGGTAATTCTTGTTCACATGGTGCCTTATTTGAAGGCCTCAAAGTTGAATTCTCCTGTGGCCAGAGTGTGATCTTGCATATTTTGCATCATTGTGCTTGGATGCCTACTTTACTAGTTCCAAATAGAAATTGGGATTTTTTTTTTTTTGCTTTTCATCTAGAATGGATGTCTTCTTGTTAGCTTTCCATAAAAGCCAGCTTTGTGGAGTGCATGATTAAGTGATGTCCCTCTGATAGGTTCTTTTGCACTAGATGAGGACCTTTGCAGCTCCTCCAGAGTAACAATGGGACTCTACACTGTTTTTTGATGTTTGATTTAATAGTGCTTTACAAGGTGTTTAAGATTTGGGAGTTTTGTTTTACTGTTTAATGGTGTCATCCTTAGTCTTCACTGTTTACTCACTGTTGTTTCCTATAACACACCTCTGCGACCCTATCTAAGCTAGAGGTACAGTATCAGAATAAAGGGGTCTAAATACAAATGTGCATCATATTTTTTTAGCTTTTTGTTTTCAAACAATGTTGAAAAGCATTTATCTTTCATCCTTTACTTCACTCTATTGGAGCTTTCTGTATTTGTCTATAATGCCTCAGTCATACCTGTAAGGCAGCAGCAAACAAAAAAAAAGAAATGTCATCATTCGTCCCTGAAATATGCTTTCTTGACGTCTGTCTTTTATCTGCTGCCTATAACAGCTGGTTGGTTCAAACATGCTGACACTCAGTGACAGCAGACAGATGGCTCTGTTTGCAAAGTCATTCTTTGAAACAGATACTTGTACAGTCTGATGCTAAAACACCAGTGGCTCTAAGCGTTTTAGATTTTGTTATGGCAGAAATGGTGCAGGTGGAACATTTAGTATAACAGCAATTATCTATCTAAGTGTTGCCATCCTCCGTAATCAAAGCTGAATTGTTTGTTAGAGTAGAATGATAAATTTCACCTACTCCACATTTATTCAGCTGAGATGTTAGACATAACTTGGTTGGCTTTATAATAGTTAGTACCAGCTAAATAAGCTACAATGACTAATAATTATCTTAATCGCACAACATACTCCTCTGAGCAAAACAAAGTAATAACTCGCATTCTGTGCAGTCAGCATTCTCTTTATGTCTTTTCTTCACTAGCACATACATTTTATTGTCAGCATGTTTTTGATTGTTCTCCATTTCCTCTGTAGACTAGAAAGTTATCTATGACACAACCATAAGTGGATAAAGTCATTTACAGGAAATAACGCTGGGGGGATGACAAGATAAGCTGTATTGAAATAATGCATGAACATGTGAGTGTACGTGTTACTTAAGTTGTGAGGAATGATTTATTAAGGCCAGATGGTGTAAGTTTTTCACTTTTCTATTGGACACTAGGTTAGGATGTAATTCCAAATAGACCAGTAGTTATTTCATCATTTCTTTAAACCTGCTTCCAGTTAAACAGTTTCTATGATGCAGTGGTTATAAAAAAAACATAATCCAATTTAATCTAAGGTGTTGCAAGCATTTATTTTATTATTTAGAGTTTTTGAAGTGAATAATTGTGTGAGTACTTTGAGTCAATTGGATAATTACCTGCAAACCTTTTCAACTAATTATTTCTTTTTATCTTGTGTCTTTTCATCTTTATTTCTTTATCCTTTTAGCCGACCAGTTTGTGTGCCACACTGAGGCCATTGCAGATATTGTGATCTTGGTTGACGGCTCGTGGAGCATAGGCCGGATCAACTTCAGGCTGGTCCGTATGTTTTTGGAAAACCTGATCAATGCATTCGACATTGGCATTGATAAGACCAGGATAGGTGGGTCCCGGCCATTTATTTTATTGAACAAATTGGAAAGCTGCCTGATCATTAATGTTATTTCATTCCATAAACTGAAATATGTTTTATAAGTTTTATTTTTATGATATTATAGTAGTCATGTAAACCATCTACAACATAACTGGTATCCCTGGAAAATACCTGCTTTAATAAAGCAGTATAATATAGGAGATAACTAAGTGAGATTTGAAGATTTCTCTTCCCTAACTTCCTGTTCTTACTCTATGTGTTGATAGGATAAACTTGAGTCTTAATCTAGTGTCGCTTTTAAAGGATCAGTTGAAACTACTGTATAGGCAGCTCTAAGTTGAGAAAAGTTGCTACTTTAAAGTTATTTAAAAAATAAAATAACTGTGGTCTGATAATTTTCCCATTAATGTAATTGACAGGTAATTTTGTCTTTACTATTTTAAAGAATGGATAATTGAACTGGGCTTCTATAAGAAGTATTATTACAGTTATTAAAACGTTTGCTGAAATGACTAAATCTAGTTTTTACTTTTTTTTTTACCAGGTTTGGTTAAAATGTGGAGGGCCTTGTAGATCAGCGAATGAGTACACATACACTCTATATGTCTGTTTCCAGGTCTGGCACAGTACAGTGGTGATCCCAGGATAGAATGGCATCTAAATACTTACTCTACAAAAGACACTGTCATCGATGCAGTTAAAAACTTGCCATATAAAGGAGGAAACACTCTCACAGGTGGTGTATGGGAACTGGAATGATGCTTGCACCTGCTTTCAAGTGCCCTTCTCTTCTGTTTCTCAAAAAATTATATATAATGTTCCATTTTCACTTTTGCCCACACACACACACACACAAACCTAGTCTCTCTAACTTTGCGGGGCGTTTCCGTTGAATTCCATTAATTTCTACAGCTTAACCATGACCATCACTCTAACTCTAATCATTATGGGTTCATACATAACACCAACCTAAACTCAATTAACACCTTATTCCTAAACATGATTTCCTAGCATCGGGCCCCACAAGGAGTCCACACAACAAGAAAAAACATGCACACAATATTATCTCTTCCTATGTTTGTTTATCTCTAAAGGATCTTTTTTCTAAAATGACACTTGCCTGTTAACCTTTGTTTTTATTCACGGGTATTCATTATCTTCCCCCTCTTTTAACACTTTAACACTCTTTCCAGGGCTTGCATTGAATTTTATTATGGACAACTGTTTCAAGCCTGAGTCTGGCTCAAGGGCAGGTGTGCCAAAGATTGGGATTCTCATCACAGATGGAAAATCCCAGGACGACGTTGTACCCCCAGCAGAGAGCTTGCGAAAAGCTGGTGTTGAGCTGTTTGCTATTGGTGAGAACAGATTTGATTCTATCACAGCTACTCTATTCTGCTCCTCTAAATCGTCTTTTTTTTCCCAAAAACATTATGGGGCTTCTGTTCTAAAGCTTTTTTTCATGAGGACATGAAAAATATATATATGGCTTGTAAATATATATATATTTCCTCTGCAGTTTCTGCCGTGCCAACAATCACATGTTCTTTTCTCTTCTAGGCGTAAAGAATGCTGATGAGAATGAGCTGCGGTCTATCGCCTCTGAGCCACATCACAGTCACGTCTACAATGTGGCTGACTTCAACATTATGAGCTCTATAGTCGAGGGATTGACAAAGAAAGTGTGTGAACAAGTGGAGCTGCAAGACAAAGACATCAAGCAGAGTAAGGAACAGGAATGAAAGGCAGAGAGACAGCAGAGCGTATTTTGTACTGTCATTCATAATAATAACATCATCTTACATAATCATTACTCCAAAACAAATGAAGGTCAATGTAAAGTAAGATATTTTTGTCTGTATAGCAATTTTCATTGTGAAGGTAATTTAGATTCTTTAACAAAGAGACAAAATAAAGGGCAGAGGTTAAGGAAATGACATTAATAACAAGAGAACTACAAATATATAAGCCAGATTGATAAGTATTGTTCAATTTGAATTTTGTGCTCTGTCTATCTGAAAAGGCTCCACTGGAAAGGGTTTGCAAAAGACAGGGTCATTCAGAACAATTCTTTGAGCTGATTTGGTAAATCACCAACTAACACCTGCCTCCCATGTCAAGCTTTTAGCCAATCACATCAGCAGTATCGGCTCTGATTAATTAGCGGAGTTAGCTAAAAAATGAAACTCTCACCAGATCTGGTTAGGAGGATCGCACAAACATATTTCACATCTAAAAAGGATAATTTTCCAAAACATGAAATAGAGGGTATTCCAGTTAAAAAAGCCTGAACTGTGGAGTCTGTTGCAGACTTCAAATTCAGAGGCTGTGTCCTACGAGGGCCAGGTTTGTTGGCTGCTTACGTCATATTGCAGCGCCATGGTCTGTTCGGATTGGAAGACTCCTCGTTATGCGGCCGACAAATGCATCTTTCTTTTGCCCGTTTTGAAAGACATTTCATCCCAGCTCTGCGTGTTTTTAGCCCGTAACATCATCAATGACCCCTCCCAACTCCACGTGTATTTTCTTCCTACCAGGATTGTTCATTAAACTATATTTGTTATAAGTCTCCTCACTTGTGCTTATATTACTGAATTTTATATTTAATTTTTCTCCAAATCATCCTTGTGTTTACATATGTTGTGTCCAGAATTTACGCCGCAAAAAATGGGAATGCCACACAGCCTGGAAACCTCAGAGACCACAGCTCAGAGCTTTCGCGTGTCATGGAGTCCTGCACCTGGAAATGTAGAGACGTACAGAGTGGTTTATCGCCCTGCTCAGGGAGGAGAGTCACAGGAGGTAAATGCTATGTTCCTTCTGTAACTGAAAACATCGCTCTAAACATTTAATTAATCTTTTTTGTTTAGTAGTTGAAATTAAGAAATAGCAGCCATTTGCAGAAGCTTTGATAAAAACTGTATTTTATTGTGACCCAAAGTATTTGTGGAAGTGTGATGAAAAACATTTAAAGTTGAGCAGTTGGTGGTAAGAGAGGATAGGCATTTTGCTGTTTTTTTTGCTGTTGTTGTTTTTCCCTAATACTTACCTTATTGCTCTGGTTTGCCAGAGCTGGCTGTGGATAAGTATTGAAACCAGTACTGTGCTGAATGCAGACACTTGTTTAAATTTAGTGAAACTACACATCTAATAAATGGTAGTGCTGTCTATTTAAACGATGGAATGATGCTGTCAAAAGGTAAAATGTTGTCTTGTGAGTGTAGCTGTAAGGGTCTATTTTCTGATGTTTTCTTTATCTAACAAGCAGAGTACGTCTTTCAGTGTCTGTTTTTCAATGGGTAAAAATGTAAAAGGAGTGCCCAAAACTGAAATAGCTATTTGAAAGATATGCATAAACATCCAAAATAGAAGTGCATAGAAGTTATGAAATGTTTTGTGTTAGGATTTTATTGAGACCAGAAATGGTACATGTGATCATGCTTTTTCCAACTTAATGAGCCCATACATGACCACGCTTAATGACAAATATAATCCTTTCAAGGTGAACTGATCCATATTAATGTCTATACTTCTGTTCCTTTCATCCCTCTCTCCTCCTTTGACTAATTCTTTTACACATCAGGTTGTCATGCCTGGCAGTGAGACCTCTGTGGTGTTAGAGCATCTCAGCTCTCTAACCGAGTACCAGCTCGCTGTGTTTGCCGTGTATGAGGATGAAACAAGTGAAGCTCTAAGAGGATCAGAAACCACCTGTAAGTTCAGTATCAAGACATCTATAAAGATTAATGTTAGAATGAGAATTGGTTGATGAATAACTTTATTCCATTAGAATCAGCCTGTTATTGAAGTGCAGTTACATAGAAATACATTCATCTTTACTATGTGTGCTTGTTAAAACTATGTTCATAGAGTTGTGTGATATGAAGCAATATTTTTTTTCTTGAAAAGTGGGATTAAAAAGACATATAGGTTAAACGTTTTCACATTTTCTTGTTACTTTATGGAGATTCACAATTCTGTTTGGAGAATCTCTTAGAAAGATAATAATTACCTGCATATAAGTCTAACAAGAAGAAGAACAATGAAATATAGAGTTCCAGTATCAAGTTTCCTTTTTGCTATTTAGGCGACTTAGAAGTCAGATGAGACTAAAAGTCCAAAAAACTGTGTGCAGTAAAAAAAATAATGCCAGATCAACTATAAAGCATGGTGGTGGCACCACCATGTTGTACGGACACATTTTTTTTTTTTTTCCGCAAGGACAGGTAAAATGGAAAGAGTTGTTTAGGTACCAAATAGAGCAATTCTTGAAGGAAACTTTTTTCCACAAAGCTCAGGCAAATGTTTAGCTCCCAGTAGCAAAATGAAACACACAGTAAGCCAAACATACAGTTAGAGCTGTAAAGGATCAAAGCCCAGAAAGAGTTTCAGATCTAGCTTGGGACTTGTGGCAAGACTTAAGAGCTAATCCAGTCTACAGATGTGAGAAGCAGGTGGAGACATACTGTACCCCAAATAGGATTACAGATTTACTTTTAGTGAAAACCTAAAATACCTGCCTGCCTTCCTCTGGTAACAAAATATTTAAAGTCTTCTGGCCAAAACCTCCTTGAATAATGCATTTATCAGGAGTCAAACATAAGCTTGATTTCAAATATTTATTCCTTTATACATGAGAGAATGTCTTGTTTTGTGTGTGCAGTGCCTCTCCCATCAGTGAGCCGCCTCCAGCTGTTAGATATTACTCACAGCAGCATGAGAGCCAGATGGAGCCATGTGGATGGAGTCTCTGGCTACACAGTGCTCTATTCCCCTCTAACAGTTGATGGAGACTTGAACAACAATGGGGTAAGACAATGAATAAACAGACAAGAATAATGTTTTTTGTTGTTTTTTTTTCTCGTAAAGTAATTTTTATTTATTTATGTTTTAAAGTGTTGTCCCCAGGTTAATGTAGCTAATGGAGTAACTGAGGTGGAGCTGAGTGACTTGGCGCCCAACACAGAATATGCTGTCACTGTTTATGCTATGTATGGAGAGGAGGCCAGTGAGCCAATAACAAGTCAGGAAGCAACATGTGGGTAATGCATGTGCCTTCTCATAGCAATGGCTCTATTTAAATTTGATTTTCTTGCCTGTTTTTGCCTGGTCTCAGTTTAAAATATTATATTCCAACTTAAAAGCATGTCTCATTAGGAAACTGCATGTTCCTATCAGTTTAATGAATAGGAACAGATTTTATCATAAAGGTATAGTAGAGGTTTTTCATGAATTTTTTAAAAGACCTGCCCTCTCCACTTAAAAAAAAATAATTCATATGCACAACCCTGTACCTGCTTCTGAAAGGGTACACCTCTTAAACAGTTGTGAGACTGTGCACAAGGCCATTTCTCCTCGTTCACCCTCTGTTTAAAAGTTGCTATTTGCTGCTATTTGCTCATACAGTACAAGCTTACTTTCCAAAAGAAGAATTTGCAATTTTTCCACTATGTCAGTCTCACCACCGGTAAGTGAAAATGCAGATGAGCACATAGGATGGCCTTATGTAAACATATCACCAGAATGATTGACAATTAGGAGAACCACTTATTTTGATGATCCACCTGGAAAAAGAATAACTTCCTCTGTACCTTTAATGTTTATTATTTTAATTAATAAACAAAGTCACCTTGCTAGATTACAAAATATTTTTGGTAGTATCACAATGTCAAAAACTAAAATTGACATATCAAATCTGGTGACTGACATGAAAAGTAAGCTGCTTATTGGTAATAACACTATATTTCAGAATCATTCAATCAAGAAACAGGATGTAAACAAGTATTAACTTCTTAATATACATTTTGAAGGAAATACAAGAGAAGACCTTTTATTCTAATACTGATTCCAATATATATAGACCCAATATGATGTTTTATTTTTGCTTTCACTGTCTTCTAATAAACTGGACTGGATCTCTAGATGTTTCTAGATGTTTATGTTTCACTGCTCAGTTGACAGGGAGGATCTCTGCACAATGTGTGTTCTACCCAGCTTCAATCGTGTCTCTCCATGGAGGCACAGGGCTGATTCCATCTACTGCTTAATTAGCTTTGTTCCTCTATTTGGAGTTCAAAGCATAATCCGATAAATAAAAATAATAATGGATAATGGGTAATCTGGATCTGCCCCAAAGAACACACAAGTTTTCCTACAGTGACATCACCAGGCACAGAGGAGTTAATGTATTACATGATCATTACCAAGGTTAAAACTATCTGTTGTTTAGTTTTCAAAACTTGTGTTTATACAGCTAAGTTGAGGTAATAAATTATGTTTAAAAAAAGATTTGGTTTTAAACGAAACAAAAAGAAACTTAAAAAGAAATTAAAAGAGAATATTGATGTATACACTAATAAAATATGTAAAATTTCTACTACTGCTATTAATACATTTTTTATTTACTCAAAACTTTAATAAATAAGTGGTTTTTCAGTTTCAAAGTTTGTTTTTCAGTTTTAGATCTTTTTTTCAGTTTCAAAAATTATTTTTCAGTTTCATTTGTTTTCAGCTCCAAATTTTCTTTTCAGAAAAGTTTTTTTTTTTCTTTTTTTTTCTAAACTAACGTTATGCACTTATAGAGAACCACATAAAGTGTTGATTAGAGATTTTAAAGTTGACTCAAACTCAAGCTTAAAAACACACAAAAAGAACTTGGGCTCATTCATTTTCAATTATAAGAATGTTGTTTTGGGTCACTGATGTCATGAGAAAGGCTTCTTCATTTGTTTTGCTGTGGCATGTTATGAAAACATCAGATTTCCAAGAACATATTTAATCCTCTAACACTGCTATATTTTCTTATCAGTGCCTCTCAGTCCTCCCAGGAATCTCCAGTTTTCTGACATCACTCATAACTCTGCCCACATCAGCTGGGACCCTCCGCCTGGCGGAGTTAAAGGTTACCGCATCATGTGTGTCAGGACTGATGGAGTGATCACAAAAGAGGTGTGTGTTTCTCTCTGTGTGGCAGGGGCGGGGGGCATGTCTGTGTTCACTGTGACACACATGCAGACGACCTGGTTTCTGAAATCAGCCTTTAGTCTTCAGGACGAAAACTATTAGTCTTAGTTCCATTTTAGTCAGCACGATATGTGATAGTTTTAGTCCTTTTTTTTCATCTGAGGAAGCGCAGACTCAGAGCTCTGCGCACAAAGACGCTTTTCTGCACAAGCACAGATGGAACATCAGAGCAGTTTGAGTTAAATGCGCAGTACCGGACCATTCCAGGTTATTTTCCCAGACTGCCGCCGCTGCTGCCATGATCCATGTGTGCTCCTGCAGCATGTGTAGCACTGCGCGGCAGCTGGGTGGCAGGATCAATGTCGGCTGATACTGACTAGCAGATAACAGTTTAAACGTCTGACCGACAACGCGCTATCCATGTTTAGCTTGTCAGTTTTCATTAATGTCATGAAAAAATGGATCATGAACGTATTGATTTTGTCATCATTGACTAAAACAACACTGCTGTGTACAGATTTTAAAGAAAAAGGTAGATGATTAAAGGTACAAAGAGGTGTTTGCTCCAACCCTAATGTTATTCTTTGATCCTAGTAGACTCTATATTAATAATCACATTTATTCTTTTACTTACTTTGATTGTTTATTCATATTTTTGTTGCCAACCATGATATCAAAGATTTAATGTTGGTATTTGTTTTGTGCAGGTGATGGTGGGCCCAGTTAATTCTTTTGACCTCAGGAAGCTGACTTCTCTGATGGAGTACTCGGTGGCCATCTTTGCTCTGTACAACGAGGGCCAATCAGAGCCGCTCACTGATGGCTTCACAACCAGTAAGAAACCTTCAATGAGTGTTATGTCAGAAGGACGATAGGTTATCACATTGTTTTAATGTTATTCAAAGCTTCTGTTTAGTCCAACAGATATTAAACTCATCTATGACATGTTGTAGGTGTGATCAATCTAGAGAACAATTATTTTGGATGTAATTAACCGCACATTTATTGTAGTCCTGCTTTCGTGTCTAAAACTGTCTAATTAGCACCCTCCTTATGTCTATTGTACGGCATCTGATTATACAGTTTTGGTGTTAGCTTGCCCATTATTGTGATGTTACCTAGAAAAAATGGCATAGATAGCTCTGCTGCTCTAAAAAGTGATCTATCTCTAAATTTATAATTATATGGAGACTGGATACAGACCATGGTTTTAAAAGATTACTGCTATCTACATATAACCTCGAATCTTAATAGCAATTTACTCTTCTCAACCCCATTTCCTCTAGCCAGTAGCTCTTTACATACATCTTATACTCAGTTTCATCTAATTACAGTTTATTGTTTATTTGCTGATTTACAAAGAATCAACTTGTCTATTTCACTAGAAAGAATGTTTCTAACAAATGTTAGTACATTTTAATAAGCATTTCTCCTTATTGCCTATATTAGCATTGAGTACTTCAATTATATGTATTTTGTCATCTTTTTAATTGTTCATTTAATGGATATTCCAGGATTTCATTTGCTGTGGATAATTTGTCTCAGTTTACAGGAAACAGCTTGATCGATATCATTAGGCAAACCATTTCTCTTTCAAAGACAAACGGCGGTGAATTGTAATACCTTTACTGGTCCTGCTGTCATGTTGGCTTCCTGCCAACCCCATTTACACTTCAGTATTATAGCTCAGCCACATAAAGAGGTCATTTCACTGTCCCTTACTATTTCATCCCACTAACACATATTGATTTGTAGGAATATGCCTTTAAGCTACAAGCAGTAAGTGCTGCATCAGCTCAAAAAGGTGTCAGTGGTGAGCAGCTATTAAAATATGCAGTCTTTTAAGACCACATTGAATGTTATTTATCTACTGGCAAACTTTGGTTAATGGACCAGGTTTATGAAAAGTAATTTTATGATCTAAAATGAATTTGGAAGCATTGTAAAAGTTGTGGAGTGGGTGAGTAGGTAATGGTGTGGACCTGAAGGATAAGAGTGTATATTAGAAAGGTAAAAAAACAAAACAAAACAACACTTGTAAGATGAATGTAAAGCACAAAAGTGGTTTCATATTCATCTTTATATAAACTTGAAGCGTCATGATGAAGACAATAATAGAAAGAGATTCTCCATCTTTATTTCAGCTCCAATTCCTGGTCCTCTTAATCTGCGTTCCAGCGACATCGACACAGACAGCTTCAGGGTTAGCTGGGATCACTCAGCCATGGCCATCTCTCTCTACAGACTCTCTTGGGGACAACTTTCAGGTGGTGATACAAGAGAGGTTAGTATAGGTAAAAAATTATGCATCTGTGTGATTCTCTATGTTAACCAATGGTTAGACAAATGTTAGAACCACCAACCTCAATAACGTATGGAGACAGA